ATAAATAAATAAATAAATAAATAAATAAATAGTAAAAAATTAAATAAATAATTCTTATTAAAAAAATAAGTCACCTCCAACCTATCGTCATGTGGTCTTCGTAACAACAGTGAGGAAGGGGCGCTCAGGGGCATTGTACAACGGGGCGTTTTAGCAGGAAAGCTTAGGCTGTAACTTAGGCCTTTTTCCCCCTGTGGCTTTTTCTATGACTTGGATGATAATAACCCTAAACTATGACAAAGACTGGGGGCTTGACCACTTCCTTTTTTCTCTGACCTTTATGTTCTTCCTTCCTTGCCTCCTGCCCTCAGAACCCTGCATGCTCCCCTCTGATCAGGGAAACTGTACGGATAGGTTGGAGCGCTATTACTACGACTCTCAATGGCAGTTCTGCCTTACCTTTATGTATACGGGCTGTCATGGGAACTCCAACAACTTCTTCAGCAGGGACGACTGCCTGAAGGCCTGCTCATTAGCCGGTGAGTCCCATGCCCCTGACAGTCTGAGGTCCTAGCTGATCTAGAAGTAGTGTACCAGTGTGACTACAGGCTCAGGTTTTGGGGTTAAAACCTTCATTGTGTCAAGCCTTAACTGTCATTCACTGGCTAGGAGGCCTTGGGCCAGCTGCCTGCTTTTATTATTTTCAGGTTTTTTTCTATAAATGGAGATTTTAATAGTATTTACCCAATGAAGTTATTGGGCCCAAACATGATACAGTAAACATGAAGTGTTAATAGATTTTGGTCAATAGAACATGAGAGGCAGGTCTACACCCTTGGAGGAAGGTGTTTTCTCATTGACCTTTGGAGCATCACTCTGAGCACTCACCCAAGAATGAAGCTTAACTCAGCTCTGGAACCCCACAGAGTATGTGTAGACACTGAAAGTGGAGAGGAGGGTGGGGAGAGATTGAACACTGGATTAACTCCTCAGTGTGATGATGGTCATCAGTAATGCTGGGAAACAGTGTCTCAGAGACCTTACAAGTCAAATGATCTGGATTGAAATCCTACTCTTCTTCCATACCACACGTTTCTTCACCTTTTTGAGTTTTGGCTCCGCCCTAGGTAATATTGGGAAAATAGCAAACGCCTCATTGAATTGCTGGTAGATTGCATGTGATCAAAGACATAAAAACTGGTGGCTGTCCAGTGGTAATGGGCTCCCTGAATGGTAACAGTTGAGATGGTGACCCTTGATCTTCAAAATGCAATACTGTGTGATTTATAAAGCAGTATTGCCATTTCGACCTTGCATTCTGTAAGACAGGCTGAAACGACCCATCACCCCACTTTACAGATGAGGAAGTAGAGCCAGAGAGGTAGCTGGTTGCCCAAGAACCCACAGTAGGTCAGGAGTAAAGTTGGAATTTTAATTCCGTTGGCCCGGTGAGCCCAAATGGCCAAGGTAATCCTGTGGCCTGATTTGATGAAACTAAGACCACAGTTTTTCCTCGGAAATGCCAAGAATCATGGTGTTGTGAAAAAGGCCATGGTGCTTGTTCCCTGAAGCCATCAGGAGGAAGAGGTCAGGGAAATGGGCTTGAGCTGGCCTGTGGGAAATTTAGGTTGGGACTCAGAGGTTTTCTGACAATACCTCTGAGAGGCAAATACACAGTAGTCTGAATCTGACTTGGGGAAGAAGTGGTAAAATAGAAAAGAAACAATTTCTGCCCTCACAGAATTTGCAATCAGATGAGGATGATGGGAGATATGAACAACATTTGAAAAATTGATTGAAAGACCACTTATGTACTAAAAAACCACAACACTGTGGTTCCAGCCTGAATTTGACGTCTAAACTTTACTGTCTACTCTACAACCCCACCTGGCTCTCACAAACACTTCACACTTAACTTGTCTAAAACTGAATCTTTTCTTTTTATTCTCCCACCTTAAATCTACTCTATCCATAATTCTGCCCATCTTGATGGAAAAAACTTATGAATCACACATGATGCCTTTTTCAATTGCCATTCATTAAGTGATAAATTCTTTTAGTAGTCTTGAAACTTGACCTACCTTCTTACCACCTCCACAGCTGCCACTCTGAGAGTCATATTCTCATGTGAATTACTGCCATGGCCTCCGAGAAGGTCTCCTTGCTTCTATTGCTTTCTTTAAGAAAAAAGTGAGTCAGATCATGTCCTCTTGTGAGGACACTGCGATGACTCTCCATGTCATTTGGTGTGAAACCACTCCCCTAAAATGGCTTACCTGGATTTAGGCACATTTTGCACACTCACTTCTGTTTTATTTATTTTGAGAGATTTTTGCTCACTGGAGAGACAGAGACAGAGATACAGAAAGTAAGAAATCACCCCTCAGGGGTGATGGCCATGCCTCAATCCCTTCTCCATTCTCCTCATAGGATTTTGGGCATGCATGCACATGTGCCTGGTGTGAGTTTCAAGTCAGTGGGTCTGGGACTTGAACCATAGACAACTATGTGGGAGTCCAACTCTTTAACCACTATTCCTCTTGCTGGCCCCTCCCATTTTATAAAGGAGGACAGTGAAACCACTTATTAAGTGGAAGGACTGGGACTTTACCTTGGGGCTTCAGATTCCAAGTCAGAGCTTTTTCTACTGTAATAAATTTCATAATATAATGAGGTATTTTATTCCTCCACCACCTACTTGGAATGAACATGATAAGGAGATAGACAAATTACAGAAAGAGATACCAGCTTCAAAGAGAAAGAAGGATTGTTTTGCAAGGTGGCAGGATTGAATGGCATTTGTAGAAACTCACATCTGCTCTCGTTTTAGTCAAGAAGGGACAGTGCCCACGCTTCCCTTACAAGTTCCGTATGGAGTGTCCATTTAAGTGTAAGAGTGACATCGATTGCCCTGGAAGACAAAAATGTTGTGACTCCAAGTGTGGCTTTGTTTGCTCCGTGGCCTGGATAGGTAAGGTTTGGGAATCCACCTCAAAGTCTAAAGAACATCTGCCGAGAATGCCATGCTGGTCTGTGGGATGGGGTAGGGAAGTGTCTGGAATCTCAGATCCTCCTTGGGACACCTCTACCCTCCCCCTTTTAGAGGTTTTTGCCTTAGAGCACGTGCACTCACTGGACAGAGAGACTGACACAGCGAGAGGGAAAGTGAGAAATCAGCCCCCAGGAGGATGGCCATGCCGGCCGCAATCCCATCTCCTCCATTCTCCTTCTGGTATCTTGGACACACACACACCTGGCATGATTTTCAAGCCACTGGGTCCAGGACTCAAACCACAATCAACCACGTGGGAGTCAGTGATCAGCGATGTAACTGCTACGACAGCTGCTGGTCCCCCTTTTCCCCTTTTGATACCCAATCCATGTTCTCATGTTGCCTTAATGACCTCTGTAGACTACTGAGCTGTTATTTAAAGCCAATCATACATGATGTCATTCCCCATTCTTCCCCGAGAAAACATTATTTTTAGACTCTCATTCTGCAGCAACCTGCAAGGTGACAATATCTATGAAATCATTTTGAAAAATTCAAAACCATTAGATGTATTCCTAGTAAACCCTCATTTCTACTCAGAACTTCAGAGCGTGTGCATCACACTCACACTCTGCAAGGTGGGGTGGAAAAAGGTTGGGAGCCAATGCTGTTGGAGTAGAAGTCAGCTCTCCAGCCTCCAAGGCTCGTGCTCATTCCTCGTTCCTCCACGTAGGACCAGGGTTTGTCAATACTCTGAGATACAGCACAGAATTGGGGCACGTGTCAAAGGCTTTCGGCTGATTCCCACTTTTCTACTGGCTTTCTGTGTGACCTGGGAAACTCACTTCCTCCAAGAGGTCTTTAATTCCTATGATTTATAACCCAAGGAAGTTCTGGGTCCTCTTGAATGTTTCTTTTACTTCTGATACTCGGAATTGTATAGAACAAATCTATTTATTCTGTAAGAGGCAGGCAGGAATCTGTCATATTGTCCAAATCCGAGCTGGCAAGACTATTTATTTTCAGTTTTTGTTGCAGGGTGCATGCACTCACTCGAGAGAGAGCAGAAAGATAGAGGGAAAGTGAAAAAAAAAGAGAGAGGGAGAGCATGAGAAAGCATTTTCTCATTTTGTGACATGGGGGTTGGCCATGCCATAATCCTTTCCCTCCATTCTTCTCTGGGGGTCTTGGGCACACACACTCATGTGCCCAGTGTGTTTTTCCAAGCTACCAGGTCCAGGACTTGAACTGTGCTCTTGGTTATGTGAGATCCAGCTGCCTTAACCACCACACACCCTGGTTGGTCTGGCAAGACTCTTTTAATGCTCCTTAACTTATCAGACATAGAAAGCTGATATTCTGCTCTCTGTACTCTATTAATGTGTGTGGGGAGGAGCTAAGAAACTTAGAATAAAACCTTGTTTGGGGTTTCCAAGATGCTTTAAATTTGTCTCAAATTGTGACCAAACATTTCAAGACAAAATGTCTTATTTTAGAGACCAGCAGTTGGTGTAATGGCTATGTCGCTGGACTCCCATGTAGTTGACCGCAGTTCAAGTCCCGGACCCGGTGGCTAAAACTCACGCCGGGAGCGTGTGCGTGCGTGCCCAAGATCCCGAGAGGAGAATGGAGGAGAAGGGATTGTGGCGTGGCCATCCCCCCTGGGGGTGATTTCTTGCTTTCTGTCTCTCTGTCTCTCTCTTTGTCTTTCTGGTGAGCGCATGCGCCCTACAGCAAAAACCTCTCCAATAAATAAATAAATAAATAATGTCTTATTTTACCCCATAAAGTCAAAACAGGTGTGTGCCCACGTAAGCCCTTGGTATGTGTCAAGATTGATAAACCCAAGTGCCTGCAGGATTATGATTGTCCATTGCTGGAGAAGTGCTGCTCACGCTGTGGGCTGAAATGCCTGGACCCCAGAAGCTGAAGTAAGTGGAAAACAGGGTCATCAAAATCATGAATTATGAGTAGATCATAAAAAGCTCTGTGTTTTGTCTTGTATACAACTACCTTGCCAAATTACTATTATTTAAAAGAAGTATTTATTAATTGTATTTTTTATTATTATTATTTAATTTGCTATAGGGCATGTGCACTCACTAGAGAGAGACAGAGAGACAGAGAGAGAGAGAGAGAGGGAAAGTGAGAAAGCAAGTCACCAGGTCTGTGACTCAAACCATAGTTGACCATGTGGGAATCCAGTGCCTTAATCACCATGCCACCTACTGGTCCTTGCCTTGCTAAATTAGTAAGTACAGTTTGAGTATTCGTTATCTGAAATGCTTGGGACCAGAAGTGTTTTGGATTTCAGTTTTTATTTTTTTTTCAGATTTTGGAATGTTTGCATATACGTAATGAGATATGGATGTTTCATTTGAAAGGAACCCAAATCTAAGCACAGAATTTCTATATGTGTCATATATGTGTTATACACATAGCCTGAATGTAATTTTTTCTAAGAGAAAAATTTTTACCATGGGGTGCATGTACTCGCTGGAGAGACTGAAGGAGACAGAGAGTCAAAGCAAGAAATCACCCCTCTCAGGGGGGATGGCCCCGCCATAATCCCTTCTCTTCCGTTCTCTCAGGATCTTGGGCATGCATGCACATGCACCTGGCAAGTTTTAAGTTGCTGGATCTGGGATTCGAATCATGGTCGACTATGTAGGAGTTCAGCAATGTAACCATTATGCTATCTGCTGGTCCCACCTGAATGTAATTTTATACAATCTTTTTCATGGAGACCTGTCACATGAAGTCAGGTGTGGAGTTCTCCACTTGTGATGCCATGACGTTGCTCAAAAAGATTTTGGAGCATATTTGGATTTCAGATTTTTGGATTAGTGATGCTCAACCTGTGTAAAAATATTTCATGAGGTTATTTTGATTTTATATATAACCATACCATCTGAAAAGGATGATAAATGTGACTTTTCTTTTTCCAACTTTATGACTTTGTTTCTTTGTGTTCTTATCTTACGTAGAACCTCCAAAATAATGTTGAAAATAAAGACAATGGCATCTATTTCTGTCTAGTTCCTTATTTTGAAGTCAATGGCTCCTGCTGGATTAAAAAGACGTTGTCCTTGGATTGGGAGTAAAAAAGTTTTGTTACATGGAGGTTATTTCCTTTATGTGTTTTTTCCCTTTTCATTTATAGTTGCCACTGAAAAATCACTGCTCAATTTTTTCAAACACCTCTTAACATCTAATCATAATGATTTTTCTCTTCTAATTTGTTAACATATTATTATATTTTAATATATTGAACCATCCTTGCATTCTTAGAATATCTTTTATCACACTGGGAGTATACTTGTATTAATTCAGTGTTGGTTCTTTCCACAAATGGTTCATTTAGAATTTACACACACACACACACACACACACACACACACACACACACACTTTCCTATCCATCAACATACTTATGCATTATTTCTACACTCATCGCTCCTCTATTCATTTACCACTGCACCCCTATACCTGCCCTTCCAACAACTTCCATCAGTAGGCTTATCCATTCCATCATTAACCTATTCTATTTTTTTAAGAGAGGTTTTTATTATAAGGTCCAAGCACTCATTAGAGAGACAGAGAGATAGAAAGCAAGAAATCACCCTCCAGGGGGATGGCCACACCACAATCTCTTCTCCATTCTCCTCTTAGGATTTTGGGCATGCATGCACACACACCCAGTGTGAGTTTTAAGCCACGGGTTCTGGGATTTGAACTGTGGTTGACTACGTGGGAGTCCAGCAAAGTAACCATTATACCATCTGCTGGTTCCTAACCTATTCTTACATTCAGTCCAATCAATGTCTTTACCCAGCCATTCATTCACTCATCCGTTATCCATGCTTTTCTCACCCATCCTTCTTACCAGTCATCCAATTATCTTCCCATTCACTACTCTATCAGCCATCTGTCCACCCACCTATATACCTATCTATCCATACAACTACCAATTCTCTCACCTAACTTCTTATCCAGCAGGCTCTACTGAGTGTTTATTCTGGGCTTATTCGTGTTCAAAAACGCAGACTGTTTGATGGAGCCCAAACAAACACAACTGAGTAATAGTTACGGGGACAGAGAACAACACAGAAAGCCAGTCACAGGCAGGCAGCTCGTGTGACAGGTCTTGGTCTAATGAAGAAGCTGGAGTTGCCAGATAGGCACCAGTCTGCCTTGGTTAACCCTGCATTTAAAGTGTAAAGTTGGTGATAAAATAGAAGTGGGACTGAAGCAGAGGAGACAAGGGAAAGGAGGGGCCTGGACCCAGGTGGGTCCTTCCCCAAGAAGTTAGGTGAGAGAAAGGGACATAGTTATGACTTTTTCCAGGTCTCCAAGATGTACATTTCATTTTGTCTGCTGGAAAGTAAGATCTTTGGATGAAATAAGGTCAGACAGAATGGGATAGAACAGCCAGAAAGAGTTCATTGCCTTTAGACTCACCATTCCCCTCTACCTTCAACTCCACAATAAAATACTACATCTATACAAATATTAGAAGATCCCCTAGCGACCTCCGGCAAGAACTTATATACTCTTTTTACCCTCTGGAGGGCAAGTGTGTTCACCAAAGAGAGACAGAGACAGAGGGAGAGGGAGAAAGCACCTCCCATGGGGAATGGTCACTCTTCAATCCATTCACTTCCCTTTCTCCCTCCTTTAGGGATTTTGAGCATGAACACACATGCACCCTGAGTTTCTCAAGCTGCCAGATTTGGGACTTGAACCGAGTAGTCAGCCATATGTGATCTGCCTCCCTCAAGCACCAGGCCATGGAGCTGGCCCAGAACTTATATACTCTTAACTTTATCTCTGACATTCACTTGCTAGGTGATATTTAGTTAGCATCCTAACTTCTCTGGGCCTTATGAATCCTATCTGTAAAATGAAGAAATGGGGCTTGATGGACCCTCAGAGTTTTTCCACCTAAATGTCCCAGATTTTCACTCTCTCCTGGGCTGGGTGTGGGAGAATACCGGAAGTGGAATAAGAGGAATAGCATCGCTTATGACATTTTGGTTGTATGTAGTTTTTGTGAGATCTTCCTTAAGTGAGTTGGTGAAGTTGGTGGGATGGAAATTACCATGGTGGTTTTTGTCTGTGATCCTAAATTTCATGTCTCATTGATTTTGTGATAGTCACTGATGATAAAGCTGGCTTTGTCTGGATCTTTTCTGTCCTATAGGACAATTTGGAAGACAAAGCTTGGCTCGAAAGGACAACAGGTAGGGAAGAAAATGGTACCTATGCAGACAATATTTACTTTTTGAAGGGTGTCTCTCCCCCTACCAGGACTTATTGACTGTAGTGTGGATCCTTGGCTGCAGGAAAAGTGCCCAAGTACCTTATAGTACCCTCTTCCCAGCTCATTCCTAACCCAGTTAGAATCCAGCACTTCTACTATGGCTACTGGACACAGTTAGATGTAGTCTCTCAGGCAAGTTCTCTACTTCACAGTTCCTCTTCAGACAATGAAGAGTTTGCATAGAATGACAAGACACTCCCTATAATCTCTGACATTTCCTCCTGCCTGCAAAACAGCACAGCATTGGACCAGCAGATGGCATAGAGTTTAAGGTGCTGACTGTGGTTCGAGTCCTGGACCCAGAGGCTTGAAACTCATCCCGGATATGTGTGCGTGTGTGCCCGAAGTCCTGAGAGGAGAATGAAGGAGAAAGGATTGCAGCGTGGCCATCCCGTCTGGGGAGTGATTTCTTGCTATCTCTCTGTCTCTGTCTCTCCCATGAGCACACACACCCTCTAGCAAAAATGTATGTTAAAAAACACACACACACACACACAACACAACATTGACAAACATTATCTGAAGACTCTCTTAATCAGCCTGGTTCCTTTCCAGCACCTCAGTGTGTAGCAACATCTTAACTCTTTGGCCTTAGTCAAATAACGTGGGTGATCCAAAATGAAGATAAAAGAAAACATGATGGGAAGAAACCGTGGGAGAGGTAGAAAGGAACACGGAGACCACAGGAGATGCAAGGACAAGGAGAAAAAGTTAGACGTAAGCACAAGGGACAAGAGAAACAAAGAGAAATCGGGAGATCAACAGAGATATATTGTTGGAGTTTACCACAGCCCAGGCGGTTAAGGACCAGGATCCATCCAATATGAGACCCTTCCCCCAGAGTTGTGAGCTGGAGATGACAGTCCTGTTTGTGACCTCAGGAACTTGGTGTTCCCAGCAAGAAAGGAAGTGACTGGCGTGTCTCCAGTTCTCACATCTGAGGGCCTGACTGAGGGAATAGGCTAGGCTAAGCCAGACAGACATTTCCATGTTCTGGAACCACCAGACAGGCCAGTTTCTCTTCAGAATGGAATCTTCTGGACTTCTGAGCATCGTGGTGTTATCCATTCTCTTGGTGAATGTCCAGGGACCCGGCCTGAGTGACTGGTTCTTCCCCAGTAAGTATTGGACCTTTCCCTGGAGAGAAATCTGCTGGGAGGAAGGAACAAGGAATAATTCCTTAGATCCAGGTTGCTGTCCCCGGTCTTAGCCCTGGCCTTGGGTTGGGAGAAGCGGGAGATATTTGGAAGATCCCTTGTATGACTGCAGGAAGCCTGACTTAGGCAATCCCCACGTCCAGTCCCTTTGAAGTGGAGGGTCTTTCTTGTGAGGTGGGGAAGAATCACAGGATCTAGCATTTGTGGGAAGGGCTATAGGAGTCTGGGAAACCTAAGGGGTGTCCCCTTGACCCCACAAGACAGACGAACACACTTTTCATGGGAAATCCTCTCTATCTTCTTCTGATTCTTTCAAAAGTAGTTCTATAAAGAGTCCCTACACCCTCAGGAAGTCAGACTTGGTGAATTCAAATCATGGTAGCCATGTAACCTTGGTCAAGTTATTTAAATTCTATTTGCTTCAGTTTCTTTATCTGTAAAATGGGGGTATTGATAGAAATGACCTCATAGCATTATTATGGGGATTAAATGAGATAATATATTTAAAACACTTTGAAAGAAAAACATATCCTAAGTACTTAACAAATGTTAGTTAATATGAGGGGACCAGCAGGTGGCGTGGTGGTTAAAGTGCTGGACACTCCCACATGACTGACCATGGTTTGAGTCCTGGACCTGGTGGTTTACTTTCTCACTTTATCTTTCTCTCTCTCTCTCCCAGTGTCTCTCTCTGGTCAAATTAAAATAAATGAATGAATAAATAAAATTTTTAAAAAGTTAGTTAATATGACTAGAGATTTATTTTTGTCTCACTTCTTTTTCACAACTCTGTAAAGGCCAAAGACTTTTACAGATGAGGGGAGGGTAAGTGGCAGACCAAGAGTTAGAATTCAAGACCAAATTCAACTTCAGGGTGAGTGATATTTAATAACTGTATAATATCGCCCCCAAGAGGAACTCCCAAATACTGACTCCTCAATGAGGCTAAAATGACGGATCAGCTTAAACCAGTAGTTCTCAATGGGATGATTTTTATTTTGAAGGAACATTTGCAATGTCTGGAGACAATTGGGTTGTTACAATTGAGGGGTGCCGTGGCACCTCATGGGTAAAGGCCTAGAGTGTTGCTAATGTTCTCCAGGGCACAGGGCATCTCCCCTTTCCTCAGCAAAGAGTTATCCAGCCCAAATGTCTCTATTGGTTGAAAAACTGTGCTTTAGAGGGGCTGGGCTGGGCTGGGCTGGGGCGGGGTGGGACTAGGGGTGAGTAAGAAGGTCGAGAGTGAGGTGTGGTCAGGAGGGAGAAGGAAGCACACAGGGAACCCTGGGGAAAGGACCCCCTGGGGCAAACAAAGTGAAAACGAACTCCCCTGGTCCCTGCTCCTTGCTCCTATAGTGTCTCTTAGGTCTGAAGACGGGGCAGGAACAAAGGCTGGGCCTGTGACCACAGCGTATGACTTTTTCCCTAGGGAAATGCCCTCAAATCAGAGGGAAATGTGAATTCAGAGAAAGAGATGTGTGTACATATGACAGACAATGCCCGGACAACAGGAAGTGCTGCTTCTTCAGCTGTGGGAAAAAATGCATAGACCTCCGTCAAGGTACTACCCAGACCTCGGGATAACTGACCCCTCGACCCATGCCCTCACCTTCTTGCCTTGGGTGGCGTCTTCCTGTGGCTCATGGAGGGCTGGTCTCTTGGTGGGCTTTAGAGATCTGGTATTTGAGTCATTACTTCCCCTAACATGGTGTGCACGACAGTAGAATCCTCGTCCTATCAGCTGATGTCTGGACCTCAATTTCCCCAAACAACAGGGGCAGGGGTGAGATTGAATCAGGTGGTTTCTTGGTTACTTGGCTACTTTTTTTTTTTTAAAGAATTATTTTATTTAACTTTATTTATTTATCCACTTTTTTTATTTTAATTTTAATTTGACCAGAGAGAGAGAGAGACAGAGAGAGAAAGTGAGAAAGCAAGCCACCAGGTTCAGGACTTGAACCATAGTCACGCAGGTGGGAATTCAGCGTGTTTAACCACCACACCATCTGCTGGCCCCACTTGGCTACTTTTTGTTCCTGAGTTTCTGATTTCCTGGGTGACCAGTTGTCCTCACTTATACCAACATTGTTGCTGCAAGTGAGAAATTAAACAATTTATGTGTCCTAGCTTTTTGCTCCAAATTAACCACCACTCTGCCTATATGTCCAGATTCATACCGGGAGATTTCCCCGACCACTCCAGCCAAGAGGGTTTTTTCTTTGCTGCTGCAATCTCAAATCCAGGCCTATGTCCTCAGGTTTAAAACAGACCATCAAAGATTCATTTGTTTATTTAACAGATATTTACTGAGTGCCTCTGAGGCCCCCTAATAGGAGTTGACTCGCTCAGTGTGGTCAGGGAGGTTGGGAAAGGCTTCCCTGAGAAAGGAAACCTGGAATTGCATTTTAAAGGATAGGCAATATTTCAGGAAAAATGGGGGTGGAAGGGCTTTCCAGGCAGAGGGAATAGCATGTGCAAAACACTCAGTGTTTATCCTAGGGCAGCTTGAAAGCCAAATAGCACGAGCAAGCACAAGGAAAAGAGCTCCTAGGCAGATGGGGAGCAAGTGACTTAGGTCTGGTGGTCCGTGTTAAAATGCATTTCAAGTTTTTTGCCACCAAATAAACTTGTACTTTGATTCTGTATTTCTACAAACTCTTTAAGTCATCTTGTAGAGCTTATCTTACCAGCTTGGCTTTGAGATCCAGCAGCTCCTTCTCTCTGGTTGTTAGCACAAAGGAGTGATTGGAGAGGCTAAAATGGGAAGCAGGAGGATCAATTCGAGGTTGTCTCAACAGTCCAGATGTAAGTCACTGAGGCTTAAAAAGAGAGAGAGAGAGAGAGAGAGAGAGAGAGCGTCTTGATGCCTCAACCCTCTAGCTTACAGTAGTTTTTGCCATCGGGTAGGTGCCACCATGCCCATTTAATTGGACTAATCTGCAGTGTATTCATGCTGAGAAAATTTATTTTGTGTTGTAAAGATTACAGTGATTAGGGAACCAGCAGTTAGTGTAATGGCTATGTCGCTGGACTCCCACGTAGTCGACCGCGGTTCGCGTCCTGGACCCGGTGGCTTAAAACTCACGCCGGGCGCATGTGTGCGAGTGCTCAAGATCCTGAGAAGAGAATGGAGGAGAAGGGATTGCGGCGTGACCATCCCCCCTGGGGGGTGGTTTCTCGCTTTCTGTCTCTCTGTCTCTTTCTGTCTCGCACACGCCCTATAGCGAAAAAAAAAAAAAAAAGATTACAGTGATTAGAGTGGTAGTCAGGGCACTGGACTCCCACATGGCCGACTGCGGTTCCAGTCCTGGACCTGGCGGTTTGCTTTCTCACTTCCCCATACCCCATCTCTCTTTGAGTCTATAGCAAGTTAAATAATAATAAATAAATAAATAGTAAAATGTGTAATTTTTTAAAAAAAGATTACAGTGATTAAATGTAGTTGAAAATAAATAGCAGTAAATAAAAAAGTTAAAAATCTTAAATTTAAAAAAAAAAGACTGACAGGGAGCTATGAGGCAGTACAAATCAACTTAACTGTTCAACTTAAGGACTTAATTGCTTATCTGTGAAGAGTTGCCTTCATGGAACCCATAGTTTAACTGGGGCCTATATTCGTGTGTTTGGCCTGCAGTAGCAAAATGTCACAGACTGGGTGGTTTAAGCAATAGAAATGTATTGTCACACTGTCCCGCAGGCTGGGGTCCAAGATCATGGTGTCAGCAGGGCTGCTCATGCCTGTCTACCTGCTTCTGGTGGCTTGCTGGCAATCTTTGACATTATCTGGCTTATAGATATATCAGCCTAATCTCTGCCTCCTTTTTTTTTTTTTTTTTTTAGAGATTTTTGCTATAGAGTGCATGAACTCACCAGAGAGACAGAGGGAGACAGAGAGAGAGAAAGCGAGAAATCATCCCCTGGGGGGAAGGCCACGCTGCAATCCCTTCTCCTCCATTCTCCTCTCAAGATCTTGGGCATGTGTACACACATGCCCAACGTGAGTTTCAAGCCTCTGGGTCCAGGACATGAACCACAGTCAACCATATGGGAGTCCAGTGACTTAACCATTATGCCATCTGCTGGTCCCTGATCTCTGCCTTCCTATGCGGGTGGTGTTCTCCCTGTGTGTATGTCTCTGTCCGAATCTACCCTTTTTATAAAGACATTTGTCAGAGTGGATTAGGGCACCACTCTACTCCAGGGTGATCTCATCTTTGCTAATTACAGCCCTGTCTCCAGGGACATAAACCTTGACTCTGGGATCTTGCAAAGGTGTGCAATACATCATTGGAGTTGGGGTAGGTGGAAAGGAGTTTCCTGATTTTAGCTACGGTGGTGGCCAGGGGGAAGAAGAACAGCTCTTTTTATCCCAGGCTGGGCACTCGGAGTTCTCAACTCTGGATTCTCTCTGCAGATGTATGCAACATGCCGAAAGAATCGGGCCCCTGTATGGCTTATTTCCGTCGTTGGTGGTACAATAAAGAAAATAAAACCTGCTCCACCTTCATCTATGGTGGCTGCCAGGGAAACAATAACAACTTCCAATCCCAAACTGTCTGCCAGAGCATCTGCCCCCAGAAACGTGAGTCCAGGCCCCAGGCTCCCATCCTCACTAGGGCCGTGCTGGGAGATTAGGGGGATGGCTGGTCTGTTCCAAGAGAGCAATGTTCTTGGCAGACCTGGTGTTGACAGATCCAGCTCCAGTCTGGAGGTAAGAATGTACCCCGCAGAGGGGTAGACAGAGTGGGGATTGAGGATGGAAGGGCATGGAACTGAATCAAAGCTGGTAAGTATGAGAGTAGTTAGGAGGGATTGAGGGAGGATGCGGAGTGGTGAAATCTCAGAGACCAGCTGCAGAATGGCATAGGACATAGGACATCCAGCCTAGCGCTGGATGCATTGACCAACCAACCCTTCCAGGCCATCGGTTTCCTTATATCACAGCTTTAAACCAAAGAATTACTTATTTAATTTTATTAATGACTATTTTTAAATATTTCCCCTGGGGGGAAGGCCACGCTGCAATCCCTTCTCCTCCATTCTCCTCTCAAGATCTTGGGCATGTGTACACACATGCCCAACGTGAGTTTCAAGCCTCTGGGTCCAGGACATGAACCACAGTCAACCAAATGGGAGTCCAGTGACTTAACCATTATGCCATCTGCTGGTCCTTGATCTCTGCCTTCCTATGCGGGTGGTGTTCTCCCTGTGTGTATGTCTCTGTCCGAATCTACCCTTTTTATAAAGACATTTGTCAGAGTGGATTAGGGCACCACTCTACTCCAGGGTGATCTCATCTTTGCTAATTACAGCCCTGTCTCCAGGGACATAAACCTTGACTCTGGGATCTTGCAAAGGTGTGCAATACATCATTGGAGTTGGGGTAGGTGGAAAGGAGTTTCCTGATTTTAGCTACGGTGGTGGCCAGGGGGAAGAAGAACAGCTCTTTTTATCCCAGGCTGGGCACTCGGAGTTCTCAACTCTGGATTCTCTCTGCAGATGTATGCAACATGCCGAAAGAATCGGGCCCCTGTATGGCTTATTTCCGTCGTTGGTGGTACAATAAAGAAAATAAAACCTGCTCCACCTTCATCTATGGTGGCTGCCAGGGAAACAATAACAACTTCCAATCCCAAACTGTCTGCCAGAGCATCTGCCCCCAGAAACGTGAGTCCAGGCCCCAGGCTCCCATCCTCACTAGGGCCGTGCTGGGAGATTAGGGGGATGGCTGGTCTGTTCCAAGAGAGCAATGTTCTTGGCAGACCTGGTGTTGACAGATCCAGCTCCAGTCTGGAGGTAAGAATGTACCCCGCAGAGGGGTAGACAGAGTGGGGATTGAGGATGGAAGGGCATGGAACTGAATCAAAGCTGGTAAGTATGAGAGTAGTTAGGAGGGATTGAGGGAGGATGCGGAGTGGTGAAATCTCAGAGACCAGCTGCAGAATGGCATAGGACATAGGACATCCAGCCTAGCGCTGGATGCATTGACCAACCAACCCTTCCAGGCCATCGGTTTCCTTATATCACAGCTTTAAACCAAAGAATTACTTATTTAATTTTATTAATGACTATTTTTAAATATTTGCTATAGGGCACGTGCACTCACCAGAGAGGGTGAGGGGAGTAAGAAAGCAAGCCGTCAAGCCTGGGACTTGAACCATGGTCTACTATGTGTGAGTCCAGCATCTTAACCACCATGCCCCCTGTTGACCCCGATATGGGCTGGCTTTTTTGCCAGCGACCTACTCCCATTCATTTCTCCACGAAGGAGACAGGTAGCTGCCCAAAGCAAATCTACTTTCTTTTCATCTCCTCCTTTGAAAGACAAAAATGTCAAGTTGTAAAGCAAAGCCGAACCCAAGGTTCTCAGCTAGTCCTGTCTCCTATCACAGCAGGTGCCTCTTCCTGAATGGATAAGGACACCCTGAAGTGACCGGTGTTTGGCTCCTGCTCTGAGGCTCTGTGTACCCGACCGACTGATGCTCCGGCTTGGCTCGCACTGTTCTGCTCACAGTGTCCCAAGGCCTCAGCTCTTCTCCAAACTGAACTCCACATCTGTCTCCCCTTCTTCCAACGCCACCTCTTTTCTTACATTCTTCCATTTGGATCTCATTTTTATGTCTCATTCTGTTAACTCTGAGTTCTGGAGCTCCTGGTGCAAACCTGTGTAGCTCCCAATTTTTCTGAATAAAGTGCTTCATTTAATCCTGTGCCTCTGAGACTGAGTAATTTATGTCTGTTTGGCACCTTATGCTTTCCGGAGAGGAAGAGATCATAGAGGCTCGAAGTGACCTGTTCAGGGAGTCAGGACAATCAGAACCTTGAGAGTTGAGAGCTCCCGGGATATTGCCAGCCTCCTCTGTTCTTTCAAAACAATTGTAAAACTTGGAGAAGTTTTTGTTATAGGGTGTGTGCACTCACCAGACAGACAGAGACAGAGAGACAGAAAACGAGAAATCATTCCCCAGGGGGGATGGCCACACCACAATCCTTTCTCCTCCATTCTCCCCTCGGGATCTTGGGGATGCATGCACACTCGCCCGGCGTCAGTTTAAGCCACTAGGTCCAGGACTTGAACTACGGTTGACTACATGGGAGTCCAGTGACATAGCCATTATGCCATCTGCTGGTCCCTGTAAAACCTTTCTAAGGCAAAGGCCCACAGACATTGGTATAGTTTGAGTCTCCCAGACACTGACCCTGGGACAAGGGGATGAGTCCAGGTAGTGTATCTGAGATATCTCCCAAGAAGTACGAGGTGGGGTGTGGGGAGAGGGATTCAGGGATGAGAGAGTTGAGTGTGAGCTGGTCCCCACACTGGGACACTCAGGCTCAACCCCACCAGGGGCCTTCCAAGGAACCATCTAAAACGTGCCACTGTCTCCAGTGATGGGGAAGCTGAGGTGCTGACCAGCTGATTCCCGTTTCTCACCGAATGCCTGGCTATTACATCTCTTGCTCTTCCTGACTGTTCTGCAGGCAAGCTGAGCAAGCGCCCAGGGAACCAGAGAAAAAGCACAGCAGAGGAGTAAGAACCCCGATGCTTGTGGTGGGAGGCTGTCTGGGTGCACTGGATGTTACTCAGTCATACAAAGGAATGACACGTGAATACAAGCAATCTGTGGAAGAACCTAGAACATGGTGCATCAGAGAAAGAAATCAGGCAGGAGAGGTCACATGCGGTGTGATTCCATTCAGAGGAAATGCCTGAAATTGGTGAATCATAAAGATGGCAAGTAGATTAGTGGTTGCCAGGAGTTAGAATGGATTGGGGGGAAACAGGAAATGACTGCTCACGGGTACAGGGTTTTTGTTGGCAGTGACAAAATACTTGGGAACTAACTAACAGAGGTGGTGGTTGCACACGTGGTGAATGTACTAAGAAGCCACATTTTTTACATAATGTGAATTCTACCTCAGTTTTAGAAAAGATGGATTAAAGAAGAACAAGGTGGCGGTGCAATGGTAATGAACCCTCATGGGGGAAGTCCTGTGTTCTCATCCTGGGACCTTTTTAAAGAATTTGCTATATGGCGTATGCACTCACTGGAGAGTGTGAGGAGAAAGAGAGAGGGAAAAGTAAGAAAGTACCCCTAGGGAGATTGGCCATACCACAAGCCCCTCCTCTTCCTTTTTCTCTCAGGACTTTGAGCACACATGCACACGTGCCTGGTATGTTTCTCAATCCACCAGGTCTGGGACTCAAACTGACTACTTGGGTTCCAGCTGTCTTAACCTCCACACCACTGGCTGGCTCTGGGATCCTTCTTTGCACAGTGGGTGTGCAGGCTGGGACTGGGGAGGATCGTGGTGTAAAGACCCTGTGGGTGGTAATAGGGAGATGTGTGCCTGCTTTTCTCTCATATCCTCTCTGTCTTTTCTCTCTCTACCTTAATAGAAGAAATAAATTAAAAAAAAAAACTCTAAAAAGGATGGATTAAGAAAAAAAATGATGCACTGGAACTGTCTCTTGAAACTACAGGTAAAATCCGAGGGGGGTGGGGAATATGCTGGAGTTGGCCATAGTGGTCCCTACTGCAGTCTACCCCATGCTTTGCTCAGAGTTACTCAGGCCCCAGAGTTCACTTCTACTGATTGTCTGAGATATTCTCTGGGCCCTGCTGCTGCAGCTGTCTTTGAAGCCATCTACCTCTGGCACCTACCTCTCTTCTAATCTGTATCTCATGTCAAAGCTCATTGCTAGCTCTATTTCCAAAATACTGAGACCTGGACAGACACTTTCTGAAGATTTGGTTCAACCTGGAATCAACCGATCTCCTCCCTGACATCCCACTTGTAACAACAGCATAAGAGGAGGGGTTGACCAAAAGGAAACAAGAAAGAGAAGGATACAAGGGCAGGAAGAAAGAGACCCAGACCAAGAGTGACTCATTGAAAAAGAGAAAGATAGGCACAGGATGAGAGATTAAAGAGGCACGGAGAGGAGAAAAAGAAACAGAAAGATCAAAGTTAAACTGAGATATTCTCTGGGCCCTGCTGCTGCAGCTGTCTTTGAAGCCATCTACCTCTGGCACCTACCTCTCTTCTAATCTGTATCTCATGTCAAAGCTCATTGCTAGCTCTATTTCCAAAATACTGAGACCTGGACAGACACTTTCTGAAGATTTGGTTCAACCTGGAATCAACCGATCTCCTCCCTGACATCCCACTTGTAACAACAGCATAAGAGGAGGGGTTGACCAAAAGGAAACAAGAAAGAGAAGGATACAAGGGCAGGAAGAAAGAGACCCAGACCAAGAGTGACTCATTGAAAAAGAGAAAGATAGGCACAGGATGAGAGATTAAAGAGGCACGGAGAGGAGAAAAAGAAACAGAAAGATCAAAGTTTAAAAAAAAAAAAAAAGACAGGCCAGGAAAAGAGTAAAACTAGAAAGAAAGAAGAGAACTAGGATTATTTGGCCCCCAAAACACCGCCTAGGAAAGGGAAGGCTCTGGAATTGAAGGATCCCTTCTTCTAAGAAAATCTGGAAAGCCCCAGACAAAATGTGCCCCCTCTCCCTGTAGACCAGAGAGCCGGAAGGAGCCTCAGATTGGGGATTAAGAGCTGTCTGTCAAGAGTCCCTCCCCCAAGGTTGGTATTACAGGTGTCAGCTAGTAGTGCTGATGACCTCAGGAACTCGGTGTTCCCCAGGACCAACGAGAGGGAGGGTAGCTGGCTCGTCTCCCGTGCCATCTTCTGAAGTGCAGGGCTGCGTCAGGAAAGCCAGGTTCAGAGGCAGAAGCTGCTGAGCAGCAGTTCCTAGTTCTGGTGCCACCGGTCAGGCCAGCGCTTCCTAAAATGAGACTGTTGGGACTTCTGCCAATCCTGGTACCGTTCATCCTGCTGGGGGGTGTCCTGAAAGCTGGGCTGGTTGAGGGGTTCTTTATCAGTAAGTATGGGGTCCTCGATCTTGTGATGGAGAATGGGAACGTGACGGGGAGATCAAGAAGAGCAAAGTCACAGAGGAGCAATGCTTTCCCCCGTTTAGCCCAGGATCCTGGGGGGAAGGGGGAGTTATTTGGAGTCATTTTCCCAGACCCTTCCTCTCAGTAAGATGCCTTTGGTGAGTGCAGGAACCTGAGACCATGGCTACTGACTCCTCACTGCTACTTCCAAGAGTTCTTCCTGAAGGTGCCAGGACTTTGAGCTCATGGAATGTTGTGAGGGAACTGGGAAGCCTACAGGGCTTTCTTGTAAGGAGGACAGTCCACTTTCCTTAGCACTGGCCCCATCCTTTTCCAGGCGTCCCATTGAGCACACTTAGAGTTTCTCTACACCCACACTCCATTGAGGACCACTACCTTAGCGGTAAAAATGTGGTCTCCATGAGTTCTTTGGAATAGTGAAATATGATGACCCATACGTAGCAACTAAAATAAACTGAGCACCTAAAATGCTATGGTTGAAAGTGAATACCCAGGAGCTACAACTGCAGCAGGTTCAAAGTCTGGCTCTACTCCTTAGTCCATATGACTACGTTCACATAATTTCTCTGTCTGCAGTGTCTTCTGTTTATAAAATGTGAATATTGAGAGGACTAAGCTTATTAGTAGAGTTGTAATGGGCATTAAGGAGAAAAGGCCAGAAATATGGTAAATGCTTCATTGATATTCACTATCATTTTGCCCCAAGCAACTAGACAATTTTTTTTTAAAGAGAAATTTTTTTGCTATAGGGCATGTGTGCTTGCCAAAGACAAAGAGAGACAGAGAGAGAAAGTGAAAAATCCCGCCCCGGGGGATGGCCATGCCACAATCCCTTCTACTCCATTCTCCTCTCTGGATTTTGGGCTTTCATGAACATGTCCCTGGCATGAGTTTGAAGCCACTGGGTCTGAGACTTGAACTACAGTCAGCCATGTAGGAGTCCAGTGCCTTAACTACTATGCCACCTGCTGGCCCCAACAATGGGTTTTCAAAGTTTGTTGCATTAGTCTTTAAATTGACCCTGTAGGCAAATGAGGAAATCAAGGCACCTGCCATGCCAAGGGCTGGACAGGATTGTAAAGCCCAGTCATCCGACTCCAGAAGTGGAGATCATGATCACTGACCGCTGCAGCGAGACCGCGGGGCCAGGGGAGGACAGCGTCCTCCCTGGAATCTTACAGGTGGTGGAGGCAAGGGATGGTTGGGCTAAGGAATTATATGGTGAGTTTTTATTGGGTCAGAGATGTGGTCTGTTGTGAAGTTTCTGAGCCCCCCCAAGAATCCCTATCTTTTGGGGACAGGTGAAGTGAAAACACGCTTCTGAAACTCTGCAGGGGTTCCCCAGGCCTGGGAAAGGAGAACACTGGCCTCTTTAAGGCTCAAGGGACTATCCCTTCCCTCCCCCTAGAAACGTGTCCCAGAATCAGAGTAAAATGCGAAGTTGAAGAAAGAAACCATTGTACGAAGCACAGACATTGCCCAGGCAAGATGAAGTGCTGCCTGTTCAGCTGTGGAAAGAAATGTTTAGACCTCGGAACAGGTAACTCACAGACATTACTATGAGAGTAATGGGCATTGAGGAGGAAAGGCCAAGAGCATGGTACATGCTTCGCTGACAGTAGTCACTGTGTTAGTCACCCTTGGAATTACCGCAGGCCTGTACCTCCCACTCCTGCCTCCAGCATCACCCTGGTTGATGGCAGGTCTCTGACCAAGAGTCTGGGTACGTCTTGGACTTGGTACACTTCATGTCAGGGCTGGACCTGGCGACATGGGTTTCATTTCATTCTTGTCCCTGTTTTGGAATGTGATGTGAGAAATACAGTGTTTCCATTTTGGGCCTCGGTTTCTCCATACATAACATAGGTGTGGCTATTGGACCACATGGTCTCTTGGCTACTCTTTGGTGATCCTTTGAGATGCCAACTGGCCACTGAAGTCCCATCAAATGCTGCGATGGTTTCAGGGTATATGGTTTCTATGGGAGACAGGTGTATGACCTGTATTTTCTGGCTTTGTTGTCTGGGCCTCTCTGTCTATGTAAACCAAGATGCCTTCATTCCCTGACCACCTGGATCTCCTATGCTCTTTCCTCTCACACGTCACTGGACTCTAAAGAAGACCGTCAAGGACAAGTCACCCATTTACTCATTTAGTGACTATTTACTGGTGGTGGCTTCACTCACTTATTGTGGCCAGGGAATTCAGGAAAGGGTTTTATGAAAAAGGGATCTATGGTTTAAGATCCAAAAAATGGGGCCAGCAGGGGGCATGGTGGTTAAGGTGCTGGACTCCCACACATGGCCAACCATGGTTCAAGTCCCAGACCTGGTGGCTTGCTTTCTCACTCTCTCTCTGGTGAGCACATGTGCCCTGTAGCATATTAAAAAATAATAATAATAAATAAAATTTAACCAATAAATAATTTGTAAAGAGGTCTAAAAGATGGGCAAGACACAGGTAAAAATGGGAAGGAAAAGCCTTCCAGGCACAGGAGACAGCATGTGCAAGGTCTGTAATACAAGGTGGTGTGCTCCAGAAAGGCCAGAGAGCGAGAGTGAGCCCGAGTGTGTAAGAGCTAGGAAAGTCCAAGCTGGTCTGGGCAGGAGGGTTCAAGGGTCTGCTCTTGATCCCAAGATGATTTGCATTCAAATCCTTCCTATCTATGTGATCCCAGGAAATGTACTTGGCCTCTCCAAGCCTCAGTTTCTTCATCTGCATAATGAGAACTTAATGAGGACCTCCTTCATAAGATTAAATGTTAACATATGTCAAACACTAAGAAAAGCAGACACTGTAATAAGTATTGTAATTGTTTTGCTGTGCTTCTAACTGAGAGGTTCTAAAGAGTTCTAGTCATGGCTCACAGCACTATGGGCAAAGCAGTTGCTCAACAAATGCTTCTATAAGGTCAGGACACATTATTTGGGGGGGGACAGAGGGTTAATTGTGGACTGTCTGGAAGCATCTGCTCTGTGCCAGATCATCTGCTAGAAACTGCTGTACAAAATGATAAGACACAATCCCCACCCTTGAAAATGTCACATTCCGATGGAATGAGAAAAGTATAAGCAAATGAAAATATAGAAGTGATAAACACAAGTGCAAAGTTGAGAAGCAATAAAGAAAAGCAATTGGTAAAGGCTAGAGCCAGGAAAAACATCAGGAAGAGTTCATGTCTGGGAAGGGTTGCAAAGAATGAATAGGCGTGCACCTAGTTAGCAAAAGAGAGAGGGACATTCCAGGCATGTGCAATGACATGGAGGGATGGAAGAATGTGATATTTTTAGAGCATGAAGTTCAAAAGTGTGTGTGTGGTGGGGGAGATTAGGGAGACAAAATTGGAGAGGAGGAGGACACGAATTCTGAAGTCCTGGGTTTTGGTAGAACTTTATCTTGAGCCCGGTAAGATGTCACTCTGAAAACCAATGTAGAAGAGATTGAAGTCTTGGAGATCATCTGTTGGTCTTTTGTGACAGTCCTAGCAAAAGATGATAATGCTTGAATCAAGAGAGTGGCAGAAAGAAAGTAAAGGGTGGCCGTATAAAAGGCAAAATCAGCAAGACTTAACTGTTCAGGTGTTGGGAGGCATAGTCAAGGGGGTGCGTGGGCTCACATCTGCTTCTTAAAACAGTCCCATAAGAGAACCAGGATAAGATTCTGTATTCTTGTCTTCCACATGAAGATGCCAAGACCAGAGAGATAGAGTGAGTGGTCCAGGTTCATACTGAGCTGAGAGCAGAGCCCTGAATCCCATTTGCCTATCACTGGAGACAAAGAGAGCAGTGGCTGGAGGAAAGGGGAGGGAGGGAGTTCTCCAGTCAGGCATCCAAACAGCTCTGCTCTGCAATCCCCCTACAGATGTATGCTCTTTGCCAAAGGAAGTTGGCCCCTGCCTGGCCTACCTTCCACGCTGGTGGTATGATAAAGAAACTGAGTCCTGTTCCAAATTCATCTATGGAGGCTGCCAAGGGAACAACAACAACTTTCAATCTGAAGCTATCTGCATGGTCACCTGCCAAAAAAGACGTAAGTTCCAGAGGTCTCATCTCCCATGCTCATCAGGGCCATGCTGAGAGGCTTGGGTGTTAGCTGGTCTGTTCTAAGACTGTAGTGGGTCTGGGGCTCATAGAACCAGTTCCAATCAGGAGGTCCTAAATGGTCAATCACAGTTTAAATCCCAGCCCCCAAAGGCTTGAAAAACACAGTGGGTGCATGCGTATACATGTCCCAAATCCTAAAGGCACAGAGAAATGGAGAAGAGATTGGAGGATACGTTCTTCCTCTCTCTCTCTACTTGTCTTCTGGCAAAAATGAATTAAATAAATAAGCAATAAAATGCACAGGTGAGAGTAGAAGTAGGTGAGAGTAGAAGGATGTTTTGGGAAGGGAGACAGAGGAAACAGAAGTGGTGGAATGATCCAGACAATGTTAGGAGGAGGCCCAGTAGCCCCAGCTTAGCACTGATACCTTCTCCAGCCTATCATTGAAGGCTTTTAATTCCTTCCGAACTTTTCATCACTTCTATTCTTTTATAAGGTGATTTATAGCTAGGACAACCACATATTTTACTGGATAACCCAAGACAATTTTGAGAGTGAAAGGGAATGCCATTAATGATTACGCTGGGACAACAGGCACAAACCGGGACTCTACTGGACAAACCAGAAGACGTGATCACTCAATAAGTCCCCCAGATTACACCACTTCTGTCTTGTCTTCCCCCCAAAAGATGTAAAAGTGATCCCATCTCTTTTTTCCCATTAACTGCAGGATTTTGTTCCTAAGGTGACCTTTCTTCTGCTATCTTGCAGACTCAAGTTCCTGGTTTCTTGGATAAGGAGGAGTGAGAACAACCTCCAGGACTGGGCTCATAACCCAGGGCTCCCTCTGCATGTGTTGACAGATGCTCCCACATTGGTTTCCACTGGCCACAATTCAGCTGCCAAGTCCTGACTGTTCCAAAAACTGAACCCCAGGGTTTGCTTACTCCCTTTCCTCCAATTCAGTTTCTCTTCATAGTGATCTGCATGCCTTGATCCCCTTCTCAGCATGAGACCCGCTCTCCTCAACTTCAGGGCCCCTATTTATTCCTATGAAGTCTCCAGTTCGCCTTGATAAATTGCTCTGTGAGGTCTCAGAAGCCAGGCTGAATTCCTCGCTTCTGCAGTATGCAGAGAGTCACATAGTTCACATCTCCCTATATGCAGGGATCTCTCACCCTTTTTTTTCATGGAGGAGAAAGACAAAGAGAAACAAAGGGAGTTAGAGAAGGAGAAGGAAAGAAAGAGGTAGGAATTTTTAACAGGACTTTATGGTTTTGTGAACCTCTTGCTCTGGCCTCTCAATTAGCCAGGATTACAGGCATGTGCTACTGTACCCAGCATGTTCAGGTTGGCCCAGAAACCTAACCTAGACCTCCCATGCAGCCTCCAGACTCCCAAGTGATGGCACTGTATGTGTGTCACCACAGACATGCTGCTTGCAGAAAGTCAGAGGTCATTTGGGTTTTCTGGTAACACCAAAAAGGTAGAGAGGAGTATGAAGATTCTGCAAGCTGAGAATTCTGGTGGCACTATTAGCCTGGTAAAATTATAAGATTCTTAAGAGGGACTGGCAGGTGGCATGGTGGTTAAGGTGCTGGACTCCCATACGGCTGACCGCTTTTCAGGTCCCAGGCCTGGTAGCTTGTTTTCTTACTTTCTCCCTCTCTCTCTGTTTCTGGTCAGATTAAAAAATAATAAATAAACAAATAAAATAAAATAAATCATCTCTTTTTTTTAAAAGATGCTTAAGAAGGATCCAGAACAGATCCACGTTTTGTATGGTCTAAACCTTATAAATTAGTGACTCCTTTAAAATATAAGCACAGGGGGACCAGCAGTTAGCGTAATGGCTATGTCACTGGACTCCCATGTAATTGACCACGGTTTGTGTCCCAGACCCGGTGGCTTAAAATTCACACTGAGTGTGTGTGCATGCGTGCCCAAGATCCTGAGAGGAGAATGGAGGAGAAGGGATTGCAGCATGGCCATCCCCCCCTGGGGGGTGATTTCTTGCTTTCTGTCTCTCTGTCTCTCTGGCAAGGCACGTGCCCTCTAGCAAAAACGTTTCCAAAAAAAGAAAAAAAAAATTAAGTACAGGGACCAGCAGATGGTGTAATTGTTACGTCACTGGACTCCCACGTAGTCAACATGGTTGAAATCCCAGACTCTGCAGCTTTGAACACGTTGGACATGTGTACGTGTGTGCCCACATATAAAATAATCATTAATTATAATAATAAAGGCTTAAGAAGTCTATTGCCAAAGTAAAATGATCTCTGCAGATGATATGATTATACTAACACTGGATATTGGAGTGCATGCGCCCAATGCCCACTGCAGGAAGAGCAATGAACCCAATTCTTTGTCTCATCGTCTTGAAGAATTAGAGACATGAACACAGAGAGGGGATAGAAAAGGAGAGTTTATTGAAAGATAGGAATACCTCCCAGGCAGGGAGTGGTCTGGGAAAATGGGTTGCCAACTTGAGGCTCTGACCAGGAATTTGGTCAGAGCTGGATTTGATCAGCTAGGAGGAACTTGTGCATGTATTCTGCTCTTGGTTGGGGTCACAAGCTAGATGGGTCTAGTTATTAGTGTCCTAATTTTGGAGTGGATACAGAGGTCATGAGACTCTCTTTGCTTAAAAGCTTTGGACCATAAAGATCATTATCTTCTTTTTTTTTTTTTGGAGAGGTTTTCGCTATAGGGCGCTT